TTAATATTTCTGATGTAATCTGAGGCACAAGGTTAGACAATTATGTTTGTGTTCGAACAGGGTTTTTTTGTTTGTTTCTTAGGCTAAAATAATCCATTACACATAATGTAAACCTCTAATGTGCTTTTTCAAATTAATAAGTAAATTGATGTTCAAGGATTTTCACATAGATGTGAAATATATATGGTTCTGTAATAATGTGGCTGTTCTCAGCCTTGAGAATTAAATAGGACATGTGATTTATGCATTATTTTCTGGGAAGTATTCAGTTTAATGGGTAGATACAGGGATTTAAATGCTACACAAATACTTCTGTAAAAATGTGTGCGTGAAGCCTTTTGTTGCATATATTTGGAACCTATCCTCCCCACCCTGTATTTCCATTTCTGTGTCATTGCAGCCCATAAATTAATTTCATACACATTTCTCCGCTTATGCATCGGTTTAACAATCAGCCTGGGCTATGATAGATGATTGCCTTCTGGAGCCCAGCAATATATGTTTTCATAATTACAACAGAGCAAATATATATATAATAAAATGTATGTTTAAATTAAAGATTGCTGGTTATATATTGCATACATGACTTGAAAAATATTAAACCATACACTTGCTGTATATCGTGCTTATAGTTACTTATTTTCTACCTGTTTTGTAGTAAGTATGCACAAAACACATACACACACTATTTGACCCCCTGCTGATTTTGAACGTTTGTCCATTGACAAAGAAATGATCAGCCTATAATTGTAATGGTAAATGTATTTTAACAGTGAGAGACAGAATAAAAAAAAATCCAGAAAAACGCACGTCAAAAAGTTATAAATTGATTTGTATGTCAATGAGTGAAATATGTATTTGATCCTCTTTCAATCAGCAAGATTTCTGACTCCCAGGTGTCTTTTTTTTTTTTTTTTATTATACAGGTAACGAGCTGATATTATGAGCAATCTCTTAAAGAGAGTGCTCCTAATCTCAGCTTGTTACCTGTATAAAAGACCCCTGTATATAGGAGCAAGCAAGCCAAAGAGTTGTCTAAGGATGTCAGGATTGTAGACCTACACAAGGCTGGAATGGGCAATAAGACTATCGCCAAGCAGCTTGGTGAGAAGGTGACAACAGTTCGTGGGATTATTCGCAAATGGAAGAAATACAAAATAATTGTCAGTCTCCTTCAGTCTGGTGCTCCATGCAAGATTTGAAGAGTAATGATCATGAGAACGGCGAGGAATCAGTCCAGAATCACACGGGTGGATCTTGTTAATGATCTCAAGGCAGCTGGAACCATAGTCCCAAAACCAGACGCAACTAAAGTGCATGTCCATGCCATTGTTCTTTCTCGTCTTGACTACTGCAATCCCCTTCTCAGTGGTCTTACGTGTTCCCAAAGCTCATTTTCCTGTCCTCCCACACCTCAATTTAATATTCTGGTGCCTTACAATACCCTACATAATGTTGCTCCAACCTACCTACCTTTCCTAAAACACAAGTATGTCCCGTCGAGGCGCTCTGCCAAAGACTTACGTCTATCCTATGTCTGTACTCCCACATCTGATGCTCGCCTCCAAGACTTCTCCAGGGCTGCACCTTTTCTGTGGAACTTAGTTCCCTTCTCCGACTTTCACCTAGTCACTCCTTTGAAAAAATGGAGAACATATCATCTAAACTATTAGTGAGTTTTCATTCCCCCCCATGATTCCTCTACTGCAACTGTCAAAAATAAAGTTCTGTGAATACTTTTCTAGCAACCTATTTCATTACCCCTACTTATACTCTGTGTCACTATACCCCACTCCCTCTAGCATGTAAGCTCAGTGTCAATTTGGTTACAATTATGTGTCTGTTGGTCCACCCATTGTACAGCGCTATCGCATTTGCCAGCGCTATATAAATAATAAAAAAAAACTGTCACAAAGAAAACAATTGGTAACACACTACTGTGCAGGCCTGTCTGAAGTTTGCCAATAAACATCTGAATGATTCAGAGGAGAACTGGGTCAAAGTGTTGCGGTCAGATGAGACCAAAATCGAACTCTTTGCCATAAACTCAACTCGCCATGTATGGAGGAGGAAGCATGCTGCCTATGACTCCAGGAACACAATCCTCACCATCAAACATGGAGGTGTATTTGACAATGAGCTAGCGCACAATCTTTTTTGAAAGCTCTCCAATTGGAAAGTACAGAAAAATAAATTATAATTATAACCCATTAACCTTATAGATGTAATTTATACAGAATGTTTGCTCACACAAAAATAATTTTTCATTAAATATAAACAACTTCCAGCACAGAGTCCGAGAAATGAGCAGTCCAAATCTCAAACTAGAACCACTTTTCTTTTTCCAGCACTCCAAGGGTTAAGCTGTTATCTTATTTTGTTACACTTTGGTTAATGACTTGTATCCACTTTGCATATAACCCACAATATAGAGATTAATTACTCCGGAGATCTTTCAAGGATTACTCAGCTTTATTTCAGTTTTTTTTTTTTTTTAAATAAATAAAATATTAAAATATATAAAAGATATGTATATCTCAAACCGTAAATGTCACTGTATTTATCCAGCTCATTGTTCTTGGGGTAGTTACAGTTTTTGTGCAGATCCACCGTCCACCGATGTTGCAGCTTGTTTCTCCTTTCCCCTGAACGCTGTATACGTAAAATGGAGGTGGAAACATTATGCTTTGGGGGTGTTTTTCTGCTAAGAGGACAGGACAATGGCAGCGCATCAAAGGGACGATGGATGGGGCCATGTACCGTCAAATCTTGGGTGAGAACCTCCCTCCCTCAACCAGGGCATTGAAAATCGGTCATGTATGGGTATTCCAGCATGACAATGACTCAAAACACACAGCCAGGGCAACAAAGGAGTGGCTCAAGAAGAAGCACATTAAGGTCCTGGAGTGGCCTAGGCAGTCTCCAGACTTTATTCCCATAGAAAATCTGTGGAGGGAGTTGATGGTTCGAGTTGCCAATCGTCAGCCTTGAAACCTTAATGACTTTGAGAGGATCTGCAAAGAGAAGTGGGACAAAATCCATCCTGCGATATGTGCACACCTGATGGCCAACTGTAAGAAACGTCTGACCTCTGTGATTGCCAACAAGGGTTTTGCCACCAAGTACTAAGTCGAAGGGGTAAAATACGTATTTCACTCATTGACATGCAAATCAATTTATAACTTTTTTGACATTTGTTTTTCTGGATTTTTTGTTGTTGTTGTTCTGTCGCTCACTGTTTATATACACCTAACATTAAAATTATAGCCTGATAATTTCTCTGTCAGTGGGCAAACGTTCAAAATCAGCAGGGGACCAAATATTTTTTTTCCCTCACTGTGGGTAAATATAAAAAAATTTTTTAAAAAAAATGTTCTTTTCTTTCTGCGACCTAGGTTTTAATGTTCACTCCATTCCCAGAACAAACGTATGCTTGGCATTTTAAAAGAAGATTTTAAAAATAATTATAATTTATACCCTAAATGGCATGGGTTACGTTGCTAACGATAAAGGTAGATATCTAAAATGTTTTCAATATAATGATTTCTAACAGACTAATTACAGGAGTAGGCAACCTTCAGCACTCCAGATATTGTCAACATAATCACCCTTGATGCTTTGCCAGCATTATGGCTCTAAGTGCATTGTGGGAGATGTAGTCCCCAACATCTGGAGTGCTGAAGGTTGCCTATACCTGGACTAATATTTTCTTTCAATGAAGAAACCCCAAGTTAGCAGAAATTACCACTTGAAGTTCTGGCAATTTTCTAATGCAGGTGGCCGTCTTGAAATTGCATTATAATTGTAAAATCCTCTGTCATTTACTAGACTGTAAATTATCATTGAATCATTATAGGCCAAATTGGCAGAATGAAAAACTGTTTTTAGGGTCGTCCCCCCCCCCCAACTTTAGAGACTTGCCTTTTTCCCTATTTTTGGGTTTGCCTATTTTGGCTTAACATTTTGAATTTACTATATTCCTGACATTTCACTCTTTAGTGACTAACACAGGTCCTTAATAGTTACTGGTAGAAAAAGAAGAAAATAACTTAAAATAGTATGGGATGTCAGAATCCAATCAGAATTTTTGTTTGCTGAGCAGCCTTCAACAGGTACAAAGAAGAGTGTTTATACTTATCATGCTGTGTGTAAGCCATGCCTAAGAAAAAAAGACCTTTCTGTGGCAAGTTGGTACAGTTCCAAGCTATTTTTGATTGCTTTGATTGAGACATGCGCAGCCTAACAGAACTGTTCCCTGCTGTGACAATAAATAGGGTAACAGTAGCATTTCTACAGCATACACCCTAAAGAGTAAACTGATTATTGCTGCATGTAATACCACATTATTTCAATATATTATTTTTTTTTTACCAAAAAAAAAATAAGCTCTTTTAAGCACCACAAACTTGCCAATATGTGTAAAGTAAAAACAAGTCATCTTTTCCCCCCGCAATCTTGAACTGTTCACCCTTGCAAACATCTTATGGCACCTGAACTTCATTATGAGACATTAATGGCACAGCACCCCCTGAAGCCATTCTTGTTCCTGAATAAAAATTAGAGTGAAGGTTAATGTCTTTATGAGAGAGAGAGAGAGTGTGTGTGTGTGTTTGCGCGCGCGTGCGCGCGTTAAATTTACTATTGGACAATCCCTGGTTGGCCATAATGATTAAAGACCATCTTGGAAGCAAAGACGATATCAGAATACCCTTTTAAATAGCATGGGATATTTTCTTTTGCAAGTGAAATGGATTTATGGAGTATTTTAATTTTTCAGCATATAAAATCCTACATTAATAAACCTAGGCAAATTGACAAATTTTAAAAGGAAAACCATAATTAGCTGGAGAATCAAAGTGGGGGCACCAGAGTATGTGGTTCCCCTCCCCACAAACCACACCTTGGATAGACCAGAAAAGTCTGGAATGGTTTTGAATTTTTATTATGGTTTTGATACCACTGCGGAGTGTATTATTGGGCTCCACAATTCCGTGCTGTGTATATAATGTTATTTTAGAATTCAGCAGTGCTGTGCAGTAATACGAAGTACTTATAAATGTATTTATTTGTGCAGTGTGGGTGAGGCATTCTACTGCGCTGCAGTACTATAAAGTGTGTAATTATTTGGGGGATACACAGTGACATGTAGAATCTATGAATATTGTTAAAGAGTGTAAACTGCATCTTTCTTCCTCCTCCCCACATCCCTCTTAGCTTAATCTTATCTGGTTCTTACCCCCTTAGATTAAACTCTAGATCTGCCCCTGCTTTAACCATAAGCATTTTTTTTCCTTTGTGTTATCCATATTATGCTGTACTGTGAGTCTCCTTTTGAGTAATAAATAAAAATGAAGTAGGATAGCACCGGAAATAAAATTACTATTTTTAGTATGCTGGTATTATTATTGAAATAAATCAATAGAATATATGGTGATTACAGTAAAACAAATTGTCACTCAACTCTATGAATAAAATAAAAGAATAATGTAAAGGGACAACAGTGCAATACTATGAAAGGCACAAGGGTCCAGATCGCAAAAAGTGAGGTTTTTTTTTTGTTGTTGTTTTTTTTTTTATTATTCTTTATTTTTCAGTGCATTTAGGTTGGTACATGCAAACTTGTGATGCTACAACAGCGTAGCCAAGACATTCAAAGGTGTTGCGTTTACAGTAGCATAGATCAAGGCTTGTATACACGTTGTACATGTCAAGAGTAGAAATAAGTAATAGGCAACAAGCGAAGTGTTATTGTCCAGCTGTTTGGTTGAATTCTCAATGTTAGACAAAAACAGCATGTATTATTGCAGTCTGGAATAAAACAGTGGAAGTGGTTGTGCACTGCCCGTGCTACGGGTACCCATGGGGGGATTCAGGGTTGTAATGAGTAAGGCGAGTGTGTGTTCAATTTTATGTTCCTGCGGGTCATTGAGTGTCACACCCCTCTGATGATTGATTGGGTGGGTGGGGGAGTTTAAAGGGATAGGTAGGCTTTGTTGGTTACCACATAAGTTGGCTTTGTGCCACTTTTTAGGCCTAGGGTCTCTATTAGAGCCTCAGCAGAGGTTGTGAGGTTACAGGTGTACAGTGCGTGGAGTGGTGTAGTGTTGACCCCTAACCTGGGGGGCTCGTCATGGCCTGTTTAAGGAGTCTCAGCACTTACCAGTGACTTAAGGGGAAACAGTAGCCAAACTTGGAGTAAAGAGAACAGCAGGTCTAATGCAGAGAGGAGAAAATAAGAACATGGAAACAAATAGTATGCATTATGTGGTGTGTTCAGGTCACTGCCTCCTATTGCTGCTGAGGATGAATGGAACAGTTCTTTCTGGATCCCATTCATGGGAGGTTGATGGTATCTCCAGCGTTCGGGTGCTCAGTAATAGTCCCAGTTTTGGAGAGTTTCAGGACGTCGTCCCCTCGGATAACTGCCAAGGTTCTTGGTAATAGCCATCTATATTCCACCTTCTCTCTCCGTAGGTGTGCAGTCCCTTCACCCAAGGACTTTCTCCAAAGTAGGGTGTTCCGGGTGAGTTGCGATGATTCAAAGTCTAACTGGTGCTTCGCCCCCTACCGCTGCCATAATGCTGCGTTTGTTTGACGTGGAGTGGCAACGGACTAGGAAGTCTCTCAGAGCCATTGTGGGTGCCCGTTTGGCTTTGTTTATGCGGAAGTGGCCGTCAAACTCAAGCTTCTTAGCATGGGTGTGCGGCAGGAGTACTGCTGTGAGCCTTCTTCGGAACTGTGACAATTTGGTTGGCCCAATGTCTGGGATTTCACGAATTATGATGTCCGTGCGCCTACTGCAGTCTTCCATGGCGTCTTGTGTGTTTTGAAATACTGTGTTTGCAGACTGTAAGTGTCGCAGGGTGTCCTCCTTTCTTTTCACTTCTTGTCTGAGGTCTAAAATGTCCTCTTCAGAGGCCTGTACCTGTGCTGTTACTGCCTGTATTTCTGTTCTTACCAGGTTTATGTCAGCATCAAACTGCTTCATTTCCTGCTGTAGTTGCCTGACATCCTTTTTTTGTGACTGGGGCTGAGTCATCCCCTCCTGCTTGTGGGCTGCTGGGTGACTCGCATCACCGCTGTCCCCTGTGTGCTTCTGACTGTTTCTCCGAGCATGTGGAGCCAGTCTCTGGATCCAGTTTGGCCGCCATTTTGTGGCTTTCCTATATCTCGCGAATCCCTGGGTGTACCTGCCTGTGGTAGTGCTGGGTGGTCATTGTGGGTCTGCCAGCTGTTGGGCCCAGTCTTCAAGACCCGGAAAAACCGCCGCTGGTAAGTGCGGTACAAAAGGGAGGGCGAGGTACCCCCAAGATTTGCAGCAGGTTTTCTTGCTAGTTTGCGCATACAAGAAGGGCATTGGTGGGGAGCTCTCTGTGCCCGGTTGCCGTGGCTGTGTGGCTCACGGGTCGATGGCCCCCTACGCCTCCGATTTTCCAAGGATTGGCCGTCAATTTTAGGGAGCCGTGGTGAATGGCGGTTTGTCTGTTTAAAGTGTGCATGGATTTATCCTGGTGTCCTCTTTAGATTTGTGTGTTGATTACATGATATTACTATTTTATAAACAAAAGTTGTGATATTTAAAAGACACGGGGCGGGGCTTGCGAGCAGACCAAGCCAGGCGCCATTTTCTGGCGCTCCTTAATACGACCGTGCAATCCGCTACATATCTTTAAAACAGAGGGCCATCCAGCCTCCAAAACTGAACTCTGCTGCCCAACTGTGGACAGTCTATACCGCATCCCCAACACAACCAACTCCAACCTAAACAGGGATGTCATCCTATGCTGCCACTCCGTACAGGACAAAATACACATAACGGCTGTGAAGGGCAAAACTCCTCTCCTATTTGTAAATGCCACATTGAACTTTTTCCAGGCTCTTACAAAGGCGACGCTACTAGGGAGGAAAACCTACACACCGGTAACCTCCCAACTGCGCAATGCAGGACTACCCTATAGATGAGGGACAGACAATTCCTTAACTGTCACAAAAAATGACACCACTCATGTCCTCCACACTATGGCCGACGCAACTCCTTTTATGGAAAAACTGGGACTGCCTGCACCGACCGAGACTCGAGCGCCACCTGAGAGTGCCAGAGACCCGACCGGCATAACCCCCTTCGTCCCACGCACTAGAGGGACATTGGCTCCAGCACAAAGAAGCGGCGGACAGACAGCCTTGACCCCGAATTACCTAGAGAGACTGCTGATATAAGAGGGGAACCTCATACCTGGACACACCGCAAATGCTAGACCAGTTTTCACTTTGGTCACCTCTACAATTTTCTAAGTTACTGTTATTTTCACTGTTATGACTTATTATTTAACACAACTTGTCACCAGCAACCTGATTAAGAGGAAAACACGCCTCAGACACCACATGGAACACACCACAGGGCGCCTACTATACCACTTACCCACCCAGCACACACACCGATACTGCCCACCAATATTAAACCCCATCCCCTGGGCCCTACTGGATACTAGGCTAGTAACAGGGATGGAATGCATTACTCCCATGCACCAACCACAAGGCAAAGCTACAACTCAAACTGGGAACACACACAACTTTATAAACAGATGCTTGTCACACATCTCAACTCCAGACACATGACAAACATAGTGACAAAATGTTGTACCTGGCTACAGGGCTCCCGCCCAACTGTTAACATCACCCTTAGCATGTTAGCTCTGTACACTCTTTTTCCACGATGGAGAAAAAAAAAAAAAAAAGACACAAACGTATTGTTTAACCCTTTCTTTAATGAACCACCACAACAGCAGCAAAAAAATAAAATAAAAATACACCCATTGGGGGGAGGAGGGGGAGTCATACAGGGATACATCCTGACACAGTACACTGTATACGACTAAGCACCACCCCAGTACTTCATCTTTTTTTGATGGCAAACTGATTAAAATGTAGCACGCCGAACCCAGAAGTCACTACACGTGGATGGTGAGTCTGTGATCAGCTGGAATACACAATGTGATAGAACTTGTACTGTTTATTCACGGACATCCAGGACTATACTTGATCTATTCCACCACTTGTTTTTTTAATTAATTTTACCATTGATATGTTTATTTGGCAATTAAAGGAATATTTTTGTATACTTCAACCATTCAGCTGAGAGTGAGTTCATCAAGCACACTGCACTTGGATCCTACGTTCTCCAGGGGCTGATCCTCCCAGAGCCTGATAGTTTGGAGTGGTACTTCAACCACTCCACAATTGTGAGTTTTATACTTATCATATACTCTACAAAAGACTTTATACTGTTGCACTAGGTTCTTGTTTTTATGTATTCTAGATTAAACTGTTCCTGTGTACAAGTGCAAGTATAAATTTGCTGATTACATTATATTGTATATATTTTGCCTGACCACTTGGTGTTTTATGCATGCTTCAGCTGCCCACTGATCTTGTTTTTATTTCAGCATATACTTGTGTGTATATATTGGTATACCTCACATATTATCTGTTCAAGTATATTTCTCTGGTTGCTATTTTCCCAAAAACTTTGCGCACCTGCACCTTTTTGGATTTTTATTCTTGATTTCTTGAATAATAGGTTATTTATATCAGAACTTGTAGGTTGCTGCATCCTCATAATATTATTTTATCGTTATTTAACGGAGTCCCTATTGCGCCAACTTATTCCTTACACATTTTTATAAACTGATTAAAAGGCCAACAAAATGGATATCCTACAGTTACTCCAAACTGTCAGTAGAGTTCCTGTCGAACAAGAACATGGAGGTCCAGTAACGCGATCTTCATAAACTGCAGGTTTCTGAAGGAAAAAATAGCCAACACAAACTCCAGACCCAATGTATTTTCTGCCAAATTATACTGCAAACAAAACACACAGGAGCCCAATGATCGGATCATATGCAAAAAAAATTTAAAGAGTGCAAATGACATAATATAACATGGCACATAAATGCGATCATAAAGACAATGACTGCATACCCAAAAACATTTAAATCTTCACGATGATCAAAAAGGCAAACAATACAAAGATGCCATACAAATGTAATCGTCCCACCCCACCAGTATGCTCACCACAGCCAAAAATAAACCTATGAATAAAATATATTCAAAGCGAATGCATCGCTGGAAGGGACAATACTCTCCACCGTTTCTTTTACTATATTATGATGGAAAGTGTTTTTTTTTTTTTGTTTTTTTTTTAATGTATGTATTGCTTAAAAAACACCTTAAACACAACTGGATAATCCCTAAATCCTGGGCTGTTAGGGGTTACTTGAGGACTGGGTTGGGAACCTCTGCTCTAGATGAATGCTTCCAAAGAAGAGAGAAATGCAAACACTATTTCATGGGGAATACTCCCAGCAATGTGCTTCCAAACAGGGGAGAGGGCAGGCTCCAAAATACATCCTGTCCATTAAAATACACATTTCGGGGAACACCTATTGATTTCTTAATGCCAGTCTTTTATTTAGGAGGGCAAAAGATACACAAAGTTTTGGCACTTCTCCTGTGCTAACCTGACCAAGTGCTGAAACGCTAGTTATCATTTGCACTTCTAAATAAGACTGCCATTCTAAGAAACCAACAGGTGTGTCTAGACACTTGTATTTAAAGCTCCTCTAGATGAATGTGCCTCAAGCCTGGTGGTATCCAGGGCCGGACTGGCCTATCGGGATACCGGGAAATCTCCCGGTGGGCCGCGGCACCTGGGGGTGGGGCTGGAGATAGAGAGGGAGCCCTGCTCCCTAAATTTTAATAATATTGCTGCCGCATGTCGGTGCCGCCGGGTGGCCTGTCCGGCGGCACACTCTGAGGTAATTGCTCACCTTGCGGCTGGCGGCCCCATCTCCCGTGCTGGCAGCTGTCAGTATCAGTGAGTGTGCCGGGCGGGATTCCTTCATAGGCACTCCAACAGAGGTTAATGAACATCTCTGTGACATGTGTGGCATGGGTGCAGCCAACACAGCGTCCTCACAGTTGGTTTGTAATAGGTTGTGGGACGTAGTCTAGGACAAGGCCAATGACAGACTCCATGGCGGCCATGATAGCATACTTCTGCAAAGTCTGGGATGACATCCCCGCCAATGGGACCCTTCAATATTTGGGGAGAAAGGGGGACATACAATTCCCCACCAGGGGAAGAGGGAGCCTCAAGATCCCTGTAAGAGGCGGGAGAGATGACTACTTGTGCCTATACTGTTGCCCAATTTGTATTATGCCCAGGCCTAACTACCAGATAAAATATAGCCCAAAATGTCAGGGAGCAGGAACCCAGGAAAATCAATGACAGATTAAATCCACAAAGGACTAGGACCTAGCTGCAGGAGACTAAAGGCCCAAAACAAAAAAAGCAAAAGAACAGTGAGGAAAAACAGGAGCTCACCAGGGCCCAGAACCAAGCCGGAAAGCAGCCAGCAGCAGGGAGTACAACAGGGTCAGGCCACAGCATGAGGGGAACATGCAAAACCACCCTGGGAGAAGCGGCAGGCCCAGTTTGGGGGGAGGGGGAACTATATGAAAAATACATAGGCTCGTTTCTTTACTGTCCACCAATAGCAGCAAAGAATACAAACAAGTAGAAAAAAAATAGGACATACACAGTGACCCCAGCCAATCCCCATCCAAGTCCCACTATAGCGGTAAGCACCTTCCCTAAACTTTACTCTTTCTTTGGTGATGCAGAACAGCACGAGGAAAACATAAGAACAGGGATAAAAGGAATAGTCCAACAGAACTGGAACACAGCACCAGAATCCAGAAAACGTTCAAAGCCGGAGACAATTTTAAGACCGCAACAGATCAATGCCATCCTAAACGAACCCACACATGGAAGAAGGTGTGGAGACCAATGATCAACTTTGAATCAGGCTGTGAAAACACAAGGAACAGGAGCCCAACTGTCAGGATCCTATCCTTTCTGATAAGTTCTATGTTAATTTATTTCTGTTCCTTTAAATCAAGTTCCAGCTCTCCACCACTGGTAGCCTCCCTAGCCACTAGTCACCTCAGTTCTCACCTGCCGATTGAGTACCGCACATATGGTTGACGTACCGGACAGCCAAGATGTTGTTCATACGGAGATGGATGCACTGGCAGTCCCTTTTGTGAAGCTCCGACCCACAAAAGACCCGAAAGAAGAGTCGATGTGGAGAGGGGCTTCATCCTCTGACCAATGGCCGCCCGTTGTCACACCCTCGCAGTGGGCGCCCCAACCATGGAGACTCACATTCGAGTCTATGGTCAACTCCAGTTAGGATCTTAAAATGACTATGCTGTTCAATGCAGAGAGATTGTAGATCCACCAATGTATTTTGTCTCATTGTCTATGTCTGCATAGGAAGCGCCCTTGCGGAGGTGGCCGATCTTCAGTTGCTGCAGGGGCAAATAAGGGAGTGGAGCTGGAAACACCACCTAGATCGATGACGTCCCAAAGGAAGACTTGTAAAGCGACAAATGCTGTCTCTCTAACAAAAACGAAGGATGTCTCGAGACGCATTGCCTACTGGGACTTTCAAGTACGCGTCCTTCAAATCCAGCTTCGTCCTCCAATTGTTGTGCAGGAACACGTTCTGCAGACACTGAATGCCTTGAATCCTAAAGTGGTGGTAACACACCAGGGCGTTGAGTGGGCGTAGGTTGATGAAGAGGCGCATCTGGCCACCTTTCTTCTCCACTAAAATTATGTTGCTGAAGACCCTAGTGGAGGTCGAGGGAGCCAGTTCTATTGCCTCTTGAGGAGGGCTGACAACTCCTTGTTGATCAATCTGCAATGCCACAAAGGGAACGAGATTGGACGAGGGGAAGGAATGTGGTAAGGCTTACCAACCAGTTCTATCTGGAAACGCCAAACTGTGTCAAGAACCAAGGCATCAGAGGTTATGGTCGAACAGGGAGTCTGCCCCCTACACAAACATGTGAAGAAATACAAGGTAGATGTAAGCTTACTGTTGGGACTTCTTACCCTTTGAAACCCCTTGACCTCCATGGTCTCACTCGCTAGGGGAAAGAATGGGGACCAGACTCTCGCCTCCTCGTAGGTGAGGTGTTGGTGAAAGGAGCTTTGTCCTAGGATGATGGCGGTCATACAGGTCAAACATGGGCTCTCTCAACGCATTCAGGATATGACCGTGCTCACAGTCACCACTGCCTGAGTGGGGGGGCAAGAGGCCAAGGCCCACACCATATGGGTCTTTCTAAGAGTCACTCATGGACTCTGTACTAGACCCAGTTTATGAGACTTAGTCATAGTTAGGTTGTGCTCTAGCACATTTCCTTCACTGCACCCGTTCTGCCTGGTGCAGAAAGGCTCTTTTGCGTGGATAAGATATGCCTTCTTGGGTGACTAGAGCATCACCGGTCATAGAGGTTCTGGAGACAGGGGGATATGTGCCTGGATTTCGCAACTGCCTTTTTTGGTGCGCCCCTGAAGAATCCAACTCAAAACGCAGCTGGCATGTCCTGGAACCTGACGCAAGAGTAATGCCTGGGAGTTGGTCTGTGACAGGGCTGAGGACATAGCTGCCATAATGGTGTCAGTCACAGAGCACTATAGCGCTAACGATGGAGCCTCATCTAAGTGGGCAACAGAACCATCTACCAATAATGGGGGGGCCCAAAGATGAAGGGCTATCCCCAGGCTTGAGGCACATCCACTGCCACAGGAGAAGGGGGGGGGGGTGGAGGTGGGCATACTGGCACCTTAGGAATAGTAAAAGGCACGTACACACAGTGGAACAAACACGGTACCAAACAAAAGGTATTTCAGACCCACAAGTAATACCAGGGTAATAGATACAGCTGCAAATGAACTGTTAAGACAGGTTAGAGAGGGTTAAACCCAAGCTAGCCAAACCCATAGAAGCAGAGAGGATGGGAGCTCACCAAGGACCAGACAGCAAAGATGGGACCCTCCCAAGGGAACAGAAGCAAAGCAGAAAGGGCTGCCTGGTAAACAAGCATACTCAAAAAGGAGAAAAGGGCAACAACAAAAAAACACAGGATGGTCTGTGACCCTGGGTTCAAAAGGTAAATACGAACAGTAACAATACCGACAAAACAATAAAACAACCATAAAGATAACAAAGAGAATGCAGAGAGAGAAAATGGTACTTAACGGACTGTGCAGCAGCAAAGAAAGAGGAAGGTCTAGGGAAGTTATAGTGGAACTTGGATGGGGATTGGTTGGGGTCACAGTGTATGTTCTATTTGTTTCTACTTCTTTGTATTCTTTGCTGCTATTGTTGGACAGTAAAGAAAGGGTTAAGCAATATGACCCTCCGTGTCTTGACATAGAATCCACAATTAGAGCACGGCACAATGGTAAGTAAAGGAAAACTGTGGTATTAGAAAAGAAAACTGCATTCCTAACACCATAGTGCCCATTGCACCTCCTCCAGTGGCAAATAAAGGGTTTAATAATGCTTTTTTCATTTACCTCATTCCAGTGTCAA